TGCCTCTGAACCACTCCATGGACACTCTAAGAGGCCATCGGCCAAATGGTTTGGCCATCAGCCAAGGGAAATGGGCTATCGACCACTTATGAGTCCATTGGCCAAAAAGTGTCTGCCGATCGGCACTGAAGATAGCCGAACGACCATCTCTTCCTGCAGACTGCTCTTTTTGCCGCAGTAGAGGACAAACAAGGGCATGGCAATATATTTGCAAGAAAATGTTGTGCAACTACACCCCTTATCATGTTTGAGACTCAAAGGAGTGTAGTGTTCGACTCTCGAGCCATCAATCACGTATTTCGATGCATGATGGCCAAAGAGGCCGAATTGCACAAATCAATATGGAATGAATGCACAAAACACATGAATGCCTCACACTCTATCATGTTGGATCAAGAGTGTCGGCGACCGAAAATTGAGGCACGTTTCATCACTTCAAGTATGAAACGTCCCTTATTCCTCGTGTTTGGTTTAACATCCAAACCAAACACAATGCAATACATGCAACATGGAGATGTTATGCAATACAACATGAGCATGCCAAATGCAATGTAACAAGTATGCAAAATGCAATGCAACCTAGACATGCAAACATGCAATATAATAAGCATGCAACAACAATGCCAACAACAAGCATATGGTAACATGCAAAAATGGACTAGCATGCAACAAGATGCAAACTAGCAAACATGCAACAATGCAATGTGACAAGCATGCAACAACATGCAATGTGACAAGCATGCAACAACATGCAAAGATGGACTTAAACTAAAATGGACAGACCTCAGCCATACCCAAATCAGTGGCCAAAATAATGAATTAATGGCATGAAATGCACATACAAACATGCATACACTTTGGTTCGCAAACGAGGTATAAAGGCAACAACTCTCAAGCATAAGTAATGTATGAAAAGCATGGATGTATGACAATACTATAGGCTCTGAAATGATGTCAAGAATGATGCCAAATCACACATATAACAAAAGCATAGCACGCATGAGGCTCAAAGCTTAAGGTTAGCAAAAGGGATTTGTACTAAGGCTATGCAAAACATGAAGCAAATGGCCTAAGCAAACCAAAACAGTCCTAAAGCATACCAAAGTGAGTCTAAACCATGTATGGACCAAAGCCAAAACAAGTCAACATGAAGGGCATAAGGCATGATGCAAGTAAGGCCAACAAAAGGGATTGCACTACACCTATTAAAACCAAACATGACATGACTTAACCAATAAAAATCAGAGTTATGGCATGTCAAAATAAGCCCAAAAGCCCACTTAGATGGCATCCTAAAAGCCTAAATATGATGGCATGCACAATGGCCCACTTTTAAGGCATAAAACACAAACCGCTCAATGCATGGAAAAGGTGACAAATATGAATGCATGGCCACACTATATGGACTGAAATCTCATATGAAATGATGTCAAATCATGAAAATGATCCAAGCAATGTATGCTAGTGACTTGAAAGTTTTAAATAAATTATTTATCTTGAGATTTAATATATGTCTAGAGGTAAATGTATTGAGCTATCGGTGGAGGATAGTCATGATTGTTGTAGAAATTATATGAGGATTAAGCAATTTAATGTTAATCTATTGTTGGTTGTCATTAAATATGACCGTGTTATAAATACGTTGTATATGTATGTTTATTGGGAGGAGACATGGGTTGTACTCCATATGTGATTATGTTTATAAATACATTGCATATGTATATTTGTTTGGGAAGAGAAAGGGGATGGACTCCATTTAAAGCAAGTTGGCCAAAGTGTCCTAGGTGAAAGACCAGAAATTTCATATATAAATGGGTATCGATTCCTTCGGATGAAATATCCGAAAAATGGCAAGGTTTGAAGTGTTTATGTGTATTTGACATAGTTGGGAAACCATTGAGTTGTAGTCTCATTCTGATTGTTGAAAGATAATGAATTTAACTCATGAATTGAGTAGTATATATGAACTTGAAATAAATTGAAGGAAAATGGGAATGATGTTTGGTCTTAGTGGCATATGAATATGCAGGCCTTGTAAATGTTCTAGTATCGGTATTATTTATGTATGTGGTATTTATATCTTTGCTAAACTTCATATATTGTGTTAGATTATTTCTATTGGGCTATTGGCTCACTCTATACGAGAATATCATTTTCAGGTGCAGGTGAGGTGTTACCTCTAAGGCAATAGCATGGATGGACTTTCGGGAAGTAAGAACTTCGTAATTATGCCTTATGTGTGTATGTTTGTTATTTGTAAAGCCAAGGGCTTAAGTTGTAATGAGTTAGACTCAATTTGTGTAACCAAGCAATGACTTGGAAAGATGTAAGCCTACAGCGCATACAACTGGTTGTTAAACAGTGAACTCTGATATATGAAAGTATGTTGTTTCTCATATTTATTCCGCATATGAGTTATCTTTATTGTATTATTTTGGGGAGGCGTTACATGGAGTAGCAGCAGTTTTTTGGTTGTTGGTTCAAATGGAGTTTATGGCTGTAGGGTTCTGTTGTTCATGGCAGTAGGATTCTGCACAAGCCTCACTGCTCTTCTTCTTGATGTTATGCTCAGGCCTAACTGCTGCTGTAGGATTTAACTGATGCTTGTATGGATTCTGAAGGAGGAGATTCACCAACATTTCATGATTCAGGGGTGGCTCAAGGGGTGTTTGTTGATATGGTTGGCCTGCTGTTGGTGTATTTGTTATTTGATCTGTTGCATGTTCTATTGTTTGCTCTTGGTGTGCTATTGCTGCTATGGGTGCTGCTGGAGTGCTTTGCTGGGTGGAACTCACAGTTGATTGGGGGTTTATATTGTCTACATTGGAGAGCAAATTGGGGTAAAGACATATCAAGGAATTGAAGAGGCATCTGCTGATGGTGTTCTGTTTGGGTTGAGAATTGGTTCTATGGGCTGCTCCTGCTGCTGGCCTGCTGGTGGTTTTTTTTTTTCCTGTGGTTCTGCAGCTATATTGATGTATTTGTTTCTGTTGTTCTGTGTCTTTCTTTGGCTGCTTTGATTGGTTTCTCACCAATCTTGGGTCAAATGCTAGCATATAATTATGCTTCCTTTTCGGTGCCAACCTAGTTGGGATTGTGAAGGTTACCTATGATGCTATGTGCATTTCCCTGCTTGTTGATATAAAATTTACATGTAATGTGTTTTTTTCATCAATAAAGCTTTGTTTGCTGATCAAAAAAAAAATAATAAAAAAAATAAATGATAAACAATCATTGTTTGAATGACAATTCCTACTATTAAAAATTTAATGTGACTTGAAGGTCTAAAAAATCTTAGTTAGGACTTAAAGGGCTATAAGTTCATAAATTAGAACTTATGTGTAAATACTCTACATTTTTTTAATATCAACTATAATTATTATTTTTGTAAAAAATCAATAAAATTATAATATTTTTTAGAGCATATGAATGAATACCATAAATTATTTCCATAAATATTATAGGTCTTAGACCTAAGAAAAAAAATACCAAATGAAAAAGTATAAAATAATAATAGACAATGTGATAAAATTTATACATCAATTAGGCTTTGTAATGAATATATATTGAAAGAGTATGTGAAAGAGAAGACTCATATTTTGGCCCCCGAGTGAAAATTACTATTCTGCCCAAATTGAGTATGCTGAAAAATTGTGTTGTGGCTTATATTTATGTAATATAATTCATTCACACAATTTCTCTCTCTTCCAAACCCCCCCTCCCCCAAATTACATGGCAAATAAAATTTGATAAGTTAGGTCACATTAAAATATTTTATCAAAACTCTTCTTGTACGCATTCTGTTTTACCAGCTTATTAGGAGAATTGCATGGGAATAAAATATGTGGATGTAATACTACTGTATTTATAAATGTAAAATGTTAAAATTTATAAATCAAACTTGTTACCACTTCAAAATGGAAAACAACACATTTTATAATTATTTTGGAGCTAATTTATGTAGTGCCTAATTTACGCATTACTTTCATGTTGATTTTGAGATCAATGTTGCTAGCAGACACTCATTTACGCTTCTAAACACATTCATATAGGTGTGTGAACCCACATACATAAATGTATTCTGTATTTATGGATGTGGGTATTGAAATATAAATGATGTGTGCCTATCTTTTCTCCTTTGAGGGACAACATGATAATGTGAAAAGAGTAATGTTAGGTATCATGAAAAAATATCATAAAAATGATCATGAAAGATTTTTCACCGTTAGATTACACATACAAAAAAATACCACAAACTAATCAAAGGATAAAAAAATTTTCATGAAGCATTTCATGATATTTTTTTTATGATCCCTAATATTATTCATGTGGTAAATGGCATGGAGTATTATTATTCCAAAACTTCCGCCTTGAAAATATAATATGATATTATTTATGAGATGTTCTAAATTAATAATGTATGTTGTGTTTTAGATTATAAATTTGAGTAGAGTTTTGAAAATTAAATAATATAATATATGACCAAATTGTAAATAAAATATAAATTAAATTTTTTTCTTTATTTCTTTTTTTTTTAAAAATCTCTATTTAAATTTATGATCTAAATACAATAATAATTTTTTCAAAAAAGAAATACAGTGATAATAAAATTTTACAAGTAAAACGTAACGACTCGTTTTCGTTATATAGTTAAAAGTAAAAAATTAACTCGCTGAATATGTCTATTTTTCATTAACCGAAAGATCTATGTAAACCGTCCACACAATACTTGTATGTGGTGCTTAATAACTTTTCAGCAAGAAGAGCAAACGTGGTTAGGGTTCCCAAAGTTATTAAATATACAGTTGGAATGGTTTTGTTTGACGTGTCATCTTTTAAATGGTTGCCCGTAAACTTAAGGTTTTATGGATGATCCGTACAGAATTTAAATCCTTTTTCTCCTTATAAATAGCAGCACGGGTTTGAGTTAGGGGAAGCACAAGAAAACAAGGAACAAGTAAAAGTGATTATTAAGAGAGAGGAGAGGGAAGATAGAGAGAATGGCATCAGATGGTGAGACAGTATTGAAATCAGTCGTCACCGATAAATACGTGCGACCCATTCAGAATGCACGTCTCTCACCCGACGGAAAGGGTGACCCGATAATGCACCTTGAGAAGGCAACAAATACTCCTGCGACGTACCACATAAAATGTCATGAAACCAAGAAATACTGGCAAGTGAAATCGGGGAGTGACCCATGGATTACTGCTGATGCTGACGAAACTAACGAAAGCCAAAGAAGTTCGGCATGTACTTTGTTCCACATCGACTTCTTCGCTGCTACTCCTGCTACTACTACTCCTGCTGGTAAAACAGTCCGACTTCGCCACGAGTATCTCCAAACCTATGTAAGCCTTTGCCAGGTTGGCGACGGTTACTGCTTACGCGCATCATCTAAAGACACATCCAACGACTCCAAGGATGTCTTTGTCTGTGAGAAAGTCAAATAAACCACCACCACCAATTCATTGGTGGGTAGATGTTTGTGGGTAGCATCTCTACTGCAAACCCTCACGAGACTTCACTCGTCCTTTAAGGGTAACTTAGGGGTTTAAAAGGCTTGTTGCACGTGCTAAGTGCAATCGCATTTCCCAGTCTGCGAAAATGGCTTCTTCCCCTTCTTTTTCTTCTTCTTTCTTTTCTTTTTTTTCTTTCTATGTGTGTTTCGTGTTTTGCTTTTATTAGTTTTCATTTTCCAGTGCAATAATGTTGTGAAATATTGCCTACTAAGATTATCCTGGCAGGCACCATAATAAAATAATTTGTGTTTCCCTTACTTTTTTCAGACCTTTTGCATGTTTTTTTTTTATACAGAGACCTTTTGCATGTTTGTTGTTGTTTGGGTGTTCCTTATTTATAAAAATGAACCATGATTATGATTTTTCAAAATTGATTATCAATTTTTTAAAACATAATTTATAAAATTATTGAATCAATATGAATTTTTACATCAATTATGATCTATATATAGTAGCTTACAAAATAAATAGATTAAAGCATCATTGATTGGGAGCACAAGGCCCAAATTGAATATAAATTAAATTAGGAGGAAATTTTTGAGGTTTACATGGACTATATGACAATCTTTGTATTAAATTAATGTTGCACACAAGCATATATATATATATATCAAAGAAAATTAATATTCACACCCTCCTTTTCACTTCTCACTCTCATTTTTCTTTTCAGTTTTGTTCATATTAACATGACACCTGTACGAAAAAAATAATTTTAAAATTAAATAATAATATAAAATTTATTTAAAATGTATAAAAAAATAGTTAAGAATGAATTAAATTTTAACCATTTCATTAAAATATATATATAGTATAGTTACTATGTCCTTAATTATATATTTTAAGTTCTTAATAAAAAATATATATCATAATTCAATTGGTAAATATAAATATATATATATATATATTTTGCAACTTTAAATGGAGGTGTGGTTTTGTGGTTTACATGGATTTCACCATCAGCACGTAGCATGCGGCTTGCATTCCTGAAGAATTCATGCACAAGATATCTATGCATCCTATATATTGCATAAAACGGGTAATGAAAACATACAAAATAAGGGAACCCGGAAAAAAATTAAAATCAATTCATCCAAAGACTCTTCAGTACCCAATTCATCAATTGTGTTTGTTGGTGAGTGACCGGTTGGTCGACTGGCCGGTCAACCGATAAGATAATTTTTTTTTTTTAATCTGTTTGAACCTTTTTTACCAGTTTAAACCTACCTTTTTTTAAAGGAAACCGGTCGACCGGTTGGTCAACCGGCCGGGCAACCGGCTGGTTGACCAGTGTATCTCTTTCAACGGTCAATAACAGTGATTTGGTAAAATTTATGTCTTGTTCTCAATTTGATGCTTTTTTTGCTGAATTCTCATTTTGATATCAATTTGGTGCAACGATTGGAGCATAAAAAAGAGCTTTTTTCATCAAAATTTAAATCTGATGCCAACTTTGATTCACCGTTGGAGATGGTCTAAGGCTTGTCACCAAATAAATTTCACTTTTTTATTTTATATTTTTTTTACGGTCTCAAAAAATGATATATATATATATATATATATGAAAAAATATATTTTTTTGACATTCTGAGTCATACTTGTATATATATTCACATATGAGCTGAAAAAACTATAAAATTTATCTGATGATATATAACAATCCTATAAGATCAAACTTGTGTGAAATTTCCTCTTCTAAAAATTATCTCATCATTTTATTGCATTGAATTTTTAACTAGTGAATCATGTGAAAATTCTCATAAATGTGCATCTTAAGATATGATCTTAGGACTGTATTAAGATTTAAAAATAAATAAATTAAGAACATATATAGAATTTTCTATTTTTTCCCCTCTTTTTTCTTGTTAAAAAATGAAGAAAATATAGTTTGGAAATCCTATATTTGTTTAAAAAAAATATGTTAAAAACATTTTTAATGGGTTTTCAACAGAATATTTAAACTATTTTTCAGTTGAAAATACAAAAAGAATATCTAAACAAATTGAAAACACAAAGTCTTACAAATTACTAGGAATGCTCGTGATTTGGCGGTTCGGTTGCGGCCAAACAAACCTCAAATCCATCATTCGTCCAAAACTAGGCGGATTGGAAAAAATTAATCTGCATCTGTCTACTCGTCATCACACATCCGTCCAAAATGTGGCGGATCAATTCTGTTCAGTCGGTTTGAGCAGATCAATATATCCACTACTCACCCCTGCTACACATGTATTCTTTTAATTGTCATGCACAATTTATTTTTTAATTAATAAAGGTGCTATAAATATTTTAATGCCTACAAAATTCTTAGTTTTTAGACACCACAAGTATTGTTTAGTTTTCAAAAATAAAAATATAAAATTTTGAAGCAAATATTTTTTAAATTTGAAATTATATAAGCCTAAAATTATATTGGAAATTTCCTTTCAAAAATTTTTAGATTTCAAATTAGATATGAGTTAGGTATGGTTTTTCTTCTTTTTTTTTTTAACTTTATATATTAAGATTTTTAAATTTCAAAACCATAGATATTATTAAATGGACTAATATTTCCATGAATTTTCTTAAGGTTCATAATATTTTTAAAAATTAAGAAATTTAAATGAATGATTTGGAACTAATTATAATTCTCTTTTGCTTAATATGTATATAATATAGATATAGATAGATTAGTCAATCCTACATAAAGTAGGGTTTAATTTGATTCAATGAAATTTTTTTTAAATCAAATGAACTCGATGTATATGAGGCATGGTGTCTCTATCTACATGTCAAGATTTTAAAATTTTTCATCCCCCACACCACAATTTTTTTAATGAAATTTGAGATTTTGAGTGATATATTTTATATATTTTGAATGATAAACATTTGGAGAAATTATTAACTTAAAATGAAGATCAAACATATACATACATACAAAATATATACATTTACACATACAAATATATTTACCACATACATATATTATTATTTATAAATACATTAAATATAGATACATACATATGTTCAATATTACATGTAAATACTCAAGACAAAAGGCTTAAAAAGACAGTTTGAAAAGAAGATTGTGGGAGCCGAATAATTGGAATAATCAGAAGCATACTCTAGAAGACATATATTACACGGCTCTACTCTGCACGATAAGGACGCCGAATATAATAGATGGGCCGAACATATACTGAACCATGGAGCCGAGTAAATAAGAGGACGATGAGCGACAAGTGGGCCTGGCCATGAGGCCCAGGAAACAAGTATAAATAAAGGAACAACAGATTAAGAAAGGGATGCGAGAATTGTAGTGCTTAACTTAGAATATAAGTATTCCTGAGTGTGGTTACTGCCTTGTCCGTCGGAGTACTAATTCCGACACCCCCGCCGGAATGTATATTCCTTTTCAGGTGACCGGAAGAGGATCACCAGCGTTCCCCAGGATCATAAGAGTATTTCCAAACCACTTCTCCACAATTGGCGCCGTCTGTGGGAATACTCAAGCACATCCATGGCGAGCATGACGGAAGATCCTCCGACAGTCACTGTCGACCCTATACCCCAAGAGGAAACCACTCAAACAAACTTGCTTGGAACAGAGACTATCGCCGCAAGACGTGCCTTGAATTTCGCCTCATCCTCGACTTCGAAGCACGAGACAATGCAGGCGATCATGGAACAAGCAAAGCAAAATAAATAGAGGTTAGAAAACATGATCGCTGAGAACGAACGTCTTCGTGAAGATTTGCCCCTGGAAATGGCGAAGTCCAAGCAAGCTGCGCGCCCAAATCCAGAACAACCTCCGAAGGCAGGTAGTCGACAACCTCGAGGACGACAAGACACTGATAGCGACTCCGACTCATTATCTCCAGAGCCCAGGAAGAAGGGACGACACGAAACACCAGTTCTTCCGAAGAAAGTCCCCGTGTAATGCAAAAGCGAAGAAGGAACAGTTCGAACGAAGACCAACACGATCCCTTCGTACGAGGGATTGCAAAGGCTGCGCTACCCAAGAAATTCAAAGCACCGTCGTTCACCTTGTATGACGGCAAATCAGACCCCACCGACCACATCCGCCACTACAAGCAGGCCATGACATTGCATACAAACGACGAGGTCCTCATGTGTCGAATATTTCCCAGCAGTTTGGGACCATTGGCAGTCAGGTGGTATTATAAACTAGAGCCGGTGTCGATCAAAACTTTCCACCAACTACAAAAATCCTTCAATGCCAAATTCATCACCAACGAAGTCCAGCCGAAGCAAGCCGACTCTCTCTGGGCAATGCAAATCCTGCCAGGAGAAACACTAAGAGCATATTCGGCGCGATATTGGGAATGCTTTAATCTTGTTGACGATGCTTGTAACGACTCCATGGTCATCACCGCCTTCAAAATGGGATTACACCCAGATAGTGCCCTCCGCAGTTCCTTGACTAGAAGACCCCCCAAAACAATCAGGGGATTGATGAAGAAAGTAGAGGAATACTGCAAAGTGGAAGATGACGCCTTGCGGGTTAAAGCCGGACACGTGGCCAACAAAATGGCCCCTCCCGGAATTGCTCAGCCAATAAGTTCCGCACCACCTCAGAGCCCTGAACCACGACAGCGGGCTAAACGAGACAGGAGACAGGACTCCCGTTGATCCAGCGATCAATGCTCGCACCAGGCAAATGAGCAACTGTAGGTCGATAGTAGGCGCACAAAGCGCACCGACAAGAAATATACGGAGCTGTCAGAGCCAATCAGCTCGATTATGACCAAAATCCAACATCTTCCGTTCTTCAAATGGCCGTCCAAGATGGTGGGACCTCCTGACACGAGAAGGCGGGACAGGCGTTGTGAATATGACAAAGATCATGGTCATGATACGAACAGTTGCTATGCCTTGAAAGACCAACTCGAGAAATTGGTGCAAGATGGTCGGCTCCAGCAACACGTCCGAAA